TACCTCGAACTTTGGTTATGAAGGTGAAGAGATAAATGTTAACGTTGTGGCCTGATAAAGAAAGGATCCGTAATCTTTCTCAACCCACGTGTTCCCTACCTGTCTGACGTATTTGTGTGTCGCAGTGACGTATTTGTGTGTGGCAGAGAAGAAAAGTAGGTTTGACTATCATTGTTTAAGAAAAGGCGATTAACCGTAATTGTTAATTATTACAATTATTTTATTATAATTATTTGTGACACTATAATTAATTTTTATTTATTTATTTTAAGGGAGACAACATATGCATTAATTTTAACACTTCTTATTAATAATTGTTTCTTTCTAGATAAACTGACATCTGACTGTTCCAAAGAACTGTTTATCCTGTTCTTCAAAAAGGTCATCAACAGCAAATATGACACCATCATCATTGTGATATTGGTTCCAAACCAAGTGTTGGGGAACAGATGGTAGTCAGACCTGGAGAATAAAGAAAGTAATCAACCTGTTCAAATCTACAGACACGTACATCAAAAATTGAAAACAAGATCTTGTGTGCTGGAGCATTGTCCTGATAAAACAAGACACTTTTCGACAGTTTTCTTGGGCGTTTGATCTTTATATCCTTTCGTAACTGCCTCAACAAGTTGACGTAGTACTCTTCATTCATGGCGGGGTGCTTTTGAAAATTCTTAATAAATATATTGCTTTTTGAATCCCAAAACATGATGGGAACGACCTTGGCCTTCTTTGGGGGAGGTGAGGAGGGTATAGATTATCTCTTTGTCTCTGCCATAACGTGATGAACCCAACACTCATTCTAGGTTAGGAAACATTCAAGGAAACCATCTGGATCTGCCGCACACAATGTCAGATTTTTAACATGATGTGATCAGCCTGGTGCACTTTTGATCAGGTGTCAGAAGACGTCGCACCCACCGAGCAGAAACCTTCGTCATGCCAAGTTCACTGTGAAGATTATTCTTAGATCTCTCACAGTATATGTTAATAGTATTGGCTATTTGATTTATAGTTAATGGACTGCTATCCATTATCATGTAGTGAAAACAATGTTTTCATTGGAGGTGGCAGTTGCAGGACGTTCAGACTTTGGGTCACCTTCAAGACTCTTCCTTCCCCTCCTAAATTCAGCTGTCCACTTGTCCTGGGTATGACCATAAACTACATCCGCGTCCTGAGTAAGACGATAAACTACAACGCGTCCTGGGTAAGACGATAAACTACGTCCAACAGCACCCCCAAACCCAGATCTCGTCCTGGGTATGACGATAAACTACATATCCGCGTCCTGGATATGACGATAAACTATATCCGCGTCCAGGGTAAGACGATAAACTACGTTCGCGTCCTGGGTATGACGATTAACTACATATCCGCGTTCTGGGTATGACGATAAAGTATGTCCAACAGCAAGGCCTCGGATAATATGTTTTTGAGAAAAAAATGTTGCCAGCTGTAAGTTTTTGAAAAAATATTACCAGCTATACGTTTTTTTTTTTTTTTAAAGAATAGTGTTGCCGACTACACGTTTTTGGAAAAATAATATTATCAGCTATACGTTTTTGAAAAATAATATTATCAGCTATACATTTTTGAAAAATAATATTATCAGCTAAACGTTTTTGAAAAATAATATTATCAGCTATACATTTTTGAAAAATAATATTATCAGCTGTACGTTTTTGAAAAATAATATTATCAGCTATACATTTTTGAAAAATAATATTATCAGCTATACGTTTTTGAAAAATAGTATTACCAGCTATACGTTTTTGGAAAAATAATATTATCAGCTATACGTTTTTGAAGAAATATCATCATCAGCTATACATTTTGGAAAAATAGTATTACTAGCTATACGTTTTTGGAAAAATAATATTATCAGCTATACGTTTTTGAAGAAATATCATCATCAGCTATACATTTTGGAAAAATAGTATTACCAGCTATACGTTTTTGGAAAAATAGTATTACCAGCTATACGTTTTTGGAAAAATAATGCTACCAGCTATACATTTTTGAAGGAAAAAATATTAACAGAAATAGATTTTTGACAAAACAAAAGTATTACCAGGAAAAAAAGTTCTTGGTATTAAATGACCCACTGAGGTTGATGTGCCGTAAACCAAACCAAACGAAACCAAATCAGCTGTCCACTTTTGCACTGTTGATAAAGCTGGAGTGTCATCCTCTAATGTAACAACGTAAATGTCCTTGATAGTCAAACTCTTTTTCTGTATGTACTTGATAACATCACAAAGCCAAATTTTCTCAATGTTCAAGAGAAGTCGCTACTAATTACTTTTGAAGTCTTCTTTGAAAAGTTAGTTGCCAGTCTAACTGGAAGGAAATAATGCTGTTATTAACGAGAAGGGTTTGAATTTATGCTTGCAAGACTTCACAGCTCTAGCATAACTACTTCATAGTCAGGCTGTGAACTTTCCAGCCCATCCACGTATGTGCTTCTCTTTATTCTCTTAGTTCTTTTCTATCTCCATCTTTCTCTCTATCTTTCCTTCCTTCCTTTTCTATCCTTCTATGTATTATTCTCGTTCTTTTAACCTCTCTCTCTCTCTCTCGTTCTTTGCTTTCATTCAATATCCCCCGCTTTCTTCACTCTCCCTCTCTCTTTCACTCTTTCCCAGCTTGTTATGTATTAATTCCTGTTTACTTCTCTTTTTTTCTTTTCTCCCTTTTTCTTATCTTTACTTTCCTTCTTGCGTTTCTATTTCTATGTCTGATATCCTTGTTCTCGTCCCATTCTTTTTCTATTTAATTTTCACTCTCTCTCGTTCTGTCACCCCCTCTTTCTCTCTCTCTCTCTCTGTATATATATATATATGTGTGTGTGCGCGTGCGTGTGTGTGTGTGTTCATATCTATCTCAACATATTTCTTTCTATTTATCACAGTCTGTTTATATTACTCAACTTCTTTATATCTATCTATCTATCTATCTATATATATATATATATATATATATATATATATATATATGGTCCTCATCTACCTTTCTGTCTCTTACTATCTATCTCAGTCTGGTCTTTATCTATCTATCTATGTCCTTATCTCTTTTTAGTTTTCTTTTCTCGTTCTAGTTTTTTTGTTCATATTCTTCATGATGTCCTCTTCTTTTCTCTCTTTCCCTCTTTGTCTCTCTCTTTCTCTCTTTCTCTCTCTCTGTCTCTCTCTCTCTCTCTCTCTTTCTAGTTCTCTCTCTTTCTCTCTCTTTCACTGATTCTTTCACACACTTTTTCAGTATTCGTCTTCATGTATTCAATGAATTTCTTCTAAGTATTTGATTGGTTTTCTTTTTCCCTCCCCCTAGTCTCTATCTTTTTCTTTCATTTCCTTCCTTCCTTCCTTCCTTCCTTCCTTCCTTCCTTCCTTCCTTCTTTCCTTCCTTCCTTCCTTTCCTTCAATCCTACTTTTCCTTCTTTCTTTCATTCATTCATTATTTTACATTGCCCCTCTTTGTTTTGCCATTTCTTTTTGTGTTTTAGGCTAAAGGTGTTATGTTGCACGATTTCCAGTTGGCCCTCAGTTTAGAAGGTATAAAAAAATTGGCAGTCGTTTGAAAAATACTTGCCTTAAAAAAAAAGCCAAGATAAGTTTATGATTCACTAAATAAAACCCTACCCACACTCTTTGACACTTACAATTTAATGCGCACACGCATGCATGAGTGTATGCATGTGTACGTGTGCATATGCGTTTTCATGTGCGTGTGTGTGTGTGTTTAAATTGACGAGAGAGGCAAGAACACATAAAGCAATCCTGGAGGAGATGAAGCGAAAAGAGAAGTCGTTGGTAAGAATTTTTTATTACTCGCCATATGGGACTGCTTACAACTGATCAGAAATACAATCCATGTAATCACCAAAAAGACAAGATAGAAAAATATGGCTAACTTTTCTTAGTAAAGACGGTATTTTAGGAGTATGCTTGCTTGTTCTGTTTTGTTTGTTTGTTTTTTTTTCGTTTTGGGGGGGATTTTTTTCGGCATTTTGATGAGGCTGTTGTAAAGGGACGGGTATTTAAAAATGGGACCATCCATTATCCAAACGTTACACAGGGACGGATACAGTTTCAAAACAGATTTTCGTAGAACGAGGTAGATAATGATATGTGTGCATCGTAGATTTTCGTATAATTGAAATGTTGATAAAGTCTATATTCATCCAGTAGTTTATTTTCATATGTAACTGTACGTATTGTTAACACAAACATCTTTATCTTTGTTGCTATTTTCTCTTTTTTCTGTATATACTTGATAACATCACAAAGCAAAATTTAAAAAAAAAACATTGAAAGAAGCAATATTATGAAAACTGTATTTCAATGAAGTATTCGTTGCAATTTAATCACAAAATATATTCTTGACTATAGCTTACAGCACAGAAATGAATGATGCAGGAAGTAGTTTGAGTTGTCTCCCTTGAATTATAGAGTTCAACATTCAGTTATGTGCCATACGTGACACACGCTTAAGCTATCATGTTTCTTTCGATACATGACTGACGAGGCAGATTTTTTCCCGCAGTAGGTTGCTATTTCTTTAAAACCTGTAAACCAGTTGCCATCCAAGGCAATAGAACCCGGCCTGTCCTGCTATTTACACATAGCTCGAGGGAGAAGAAGAGGATTCACACCTTTCCCAGGGGTATTTGCACGTAAGTGAATGTAATGGATTACGAACTCCGATTCCTCAATCCAAGCCGCTATCCATTACTCCAGCATGCCTCCTAGAATTCTACACTTTCTTTAAAATCAATCTAAACAAGATACATTTTCTGCGATATCGTGTACTTCGAAAGTGTATTTAAATAGAAACTTCTAGCTTTTAGTTACTTTTAGCGATTTTCCACCCATTCATGAAAGCCTACCCCTGTCTCTTTTACTTTCAATATGATCTGTGAGTGTTAAATTCTCCAAGCCTTCCTTCCTCATTATGTGCCCAAGAATTCTTGTTACAATTTTCCATAAGACTATTTCGGCTTACGGTCATATCACATTCAAACACCAGTTCCCGTACAATCACCGACGTTAAGCAACGTCGAGCCTGGTCAGTACCTAGATGTCCGCTGGGGAATACCAGGTGCCTTAAGCGTGGATGTGTGGTTGGTGTAATGGATAATGGCTCGGGATTGTTAACGGGTGAGCCGAGTTCCAATTACCGATGTGTTCATTATATTCACTTGCGCGAAAATACCGTTGGGAAAGGTATGAATCCACCACTTCTCCCTCCCCCCAAATATGGGTTAATTAGTAAGACTTGAATCACAAAAAACCATTTATTATCTGTAAAAACATACAATTTAAGAATATTTCTCGCTTTAAGTTGTTGGGTTCGTTATATTTACTTACTCGAAAATGCCTCTGGGAAAGGTATGAATCCCACTCTCCTCCCCCAGCTATGGGTTAATTACCAAGATTTATATCAGTAAACCATTATTATCTAAAAAAAAAAAAAACCTTCTTATAATCTAAAAATATTTTCTGGCTTTAAATAAAACATACCAATTATTTGCGAATTTTGACTCAAGAGTTAAAATGTTGTAAAACAAGGAGCTTTTGGAATAGGCCTTCAGTTCTGGGCTTTATTTGCCCAATGTGTAGGCATGTAGTATAGAACCACACGTGAAGTATTCATTAAATTATTAATGTAGCACAAGGAAACCCTTTTCTACAGAAAACCAAATAAAAACCGAAGTTAAATAGTAACAAAGGTTCATAAGATTTTCTTGGTTCAATAGCTTCCCAAATTTTCAAGAAAAATAAAATCATAAATCACTAATGTTCAGTAAACGCTGCTTAGTCTTGCATAAGGTTACCACAATGGGACGTTCATGATAAACAAACCTATTACTTTGAGCCCTGACCACCGCTTTACCTGTGGTAGAGAAAAATGATGTGATACCCAGCCACAGCTTGAACAGTGGTAGAGAAAAATGACTTAATGCCCAGCCACCGGTTGAAAGATATGTAAACACTTGTAACTATTTTTATATCTACCGTGAAACATAACATACCAATTATTTTCGAAATTTGTCTCGGGAGTTGAGGCAGAATGGTTAAAATTGTTCAGGAACGCAGGGCTTAAAAGGGTTAATGATCTAATAAACAAACATAAGAACCATTCGTATAAATCAGGCAATAAATCCTGGATTATCAGCGTATAGATTATTAAGCATCTGGAATGTATATCAGACTCTTAGGTTGACTTGTACAATAATTTAAGAAATCCTTCCTAGATTAGGATGGCCGCTTGGGAATAACAGGTGCTGTAAGTTTGAATGTGCGGGTGGTGTAATAAATTATGGATTGGAATTGTTAATCGGAGAGCCGAATTCTAATTCCCGTTGGGTTCCTTATATTCACTTACGTTCAAATAACATTGGGAAAAAGGTATAAATCCATTTCTTTTTCTCCTTAATTAGTGGAAATTGTGTCATTATTATGAATAAAAAAAATCTTAAAATCTAAAACTATTTTCTGGTTTTAAATAATCTGTTAAGTTGTTTTTACACATAAATACACTTGGGAAAGGCATGAATCCAATTGTTCTCCCTCCAGCTACAGGTTAAGTAGTAAGACTTGTAACACTGAACCATTTATTATATAAAAAAAAATACAATTTTATAATATTTATGGCTTTAAATAACCCGGTTCAGTTGTTGGGTTTGTTATATTCACCTATGCGGAATTACCTTGGGGAAATATATGAATCCAACTCTTCTCCCCTAGCTATGAGTTAATCATTAAGACTTGTAACACTTAAACATTATTATCTAAAATTTATTAAAATCTTAGAATAATTTCTGACTTTGAATAACTGTCGAAGGGTTGATAAACCGTAGAAAATAAATCAATTTAGACATTTTGGTTGCTTGTCTGTTCCATCTGTAGTATTCTCAGCATCCTTCTGTAGAACCACGTTTCTGTTGCTTAGCATTTTTGCAATATTCTTCATTTCTCATCATCGTCATTCCCCATCCTCTTCAGTTCTCATCAATACTTCCGTCAAAATGAATAAAGGGACCTCCAGTTAGTTGTTAACTGGGGCAAGAAATAGCTTGTAAATTTTAACACCTCCAAAACAAAGCTGCTTACATTTAATCACGACATAGAAACATTTCTGCCTTCCAACAGTATGACTGATGTTAAATTTCAAGAGAATATATCACTCAACGCCTTGTTAAGCTCACATTTTCTACTGACATGAAGAGGAACGACAATATCGAATCACTATTTAGATTATTCGGACTATTGTCCTCATCTTTGTCGCCATATTTATTACAACGTTTCGGCCTTCTTCAGGTGGTTGGAATGTCGAACTGAACCCTTTATTACGCTCGCTGGGGTAGACTGTTCTAGTTCCACGTGCCATGTCTAATGGTTGTCAGTTATCAGTTATCTCCTGTTAATTCCCCTCTCCAAGTTCTCCACTGACTTAACTGGGTATTGAACTCACACTCTTTGGGTCCTGTCACTGGATCTAACCAACGCCTTTATCCACTGTGCCATGTGTTCTTGAGGACATATGTGTATGAATTTCGACATTCCAACCACCTGAAGAAGGCCGGAGCGTACAACGGCCGAAACGTTGTAATAAATATGGCGACAAAGATGATGACAATAGTCCGAATAATGTAAATAGTCTACATAAAACTTCATCTCAGAAATATAGACAGGTACTATTGAAGTAAGATGTAACCGTAAGTTCTATTCTCATAGTTTCTTTTCTCGCACTTCTGACCTGTAGAACAGTTTTCCTGTCTCATGCTTCCCTACCAGCAACGATCTTCAAAGATTTAAATGCCACGCCAATCTCCATTTTCTGTCTTCCTGGAAACTGTTCTTTTTTTGTCCTTTCTCCCCACTAAACTTTTCGCATTCTCTCTCACACCCAGTAACCCAATGTGTCTTAGTGGCATTATCGCCTTGCTTGAGGTAAAATGATAAAAAACATGCTGAAGAATGAGAATCCATTTCAGGCTGGGGAAGCCGATAAACGCTTTCCGATTGGCTATTGTTATATGAATATTAATAACTTTGAACATTACTCAACAATTGAGTTTCCTTTTTATTTTCTAGAGTTTATCACGTCCGTATCTCTCTCTCTCTTACTCTCTCTTTCTCTGTATATATATATATGTGTGTGTGTGTGTGTGTTGGTGAAAAGTATATATATATATATATATATATATATATATATATATATATATATATGTATAATTATTTATATATTAATGTCTCTTTCATTCTGTTCATTATTTATCTATCTATCTCATTCTGTTCAATTTCTATTTCATTATGTTCATTATCTATCTCATTCTATTTCTTATCTATCTATCTATCTATCTATCTCATTCTCTTCATTATTTATCCCTATCTCTTTATGTTCATTATCTCATTCTATTCATTATTTATCTATCTATCTATCTCATTCTATTCATTATTTATTTATTTATCTATCTATCTATCTATCTATCTATCTATCTATCTATCTCATTCTGTTCATTACTTATTTATTTATCTATCTATCTATCTTTCTATCTCATTCTATTCATTATTTATCTATCGCATTCTGTTCATTATTTATTTATCTATCTATCTTTCTATCTCATTCTGTTCATTATCTATCGATCTATCACATTCATTTCTTTGGACTTTTAATTATTTACAGACATTAAGGGCTTCAATACAAAAAAGGAGCTCTTTCTGGTTGCAGAAGCAGATATGGTTATTTATTACCCCTTTTTCAAAAATTCCAACCCACCTTCCTTACACACAAGTTTGTCTTTCATTCTCACTTGAAAATACCATCTACACGAAGGTGAAACGCGTGGTCCGTAAAGGTTTCCACTTCGTATCATCATCTGCCCCCTCTCTCTACATTAATCTTTTACTTCTATCCGGTCTCTCGATGTTAGCCTACTTTCTCTTCTCTCTTTCTTCCTCTCTCTTCTCTCTTTCTTCCTCTCTCTTCTCTCTTTCTTCCTCTCTCTCTTCTCTGCTTTTTTTTTAATAGTTCAGATGTAGTTCTTCTTTCTCTTTCGCTAAAACTCAGAAAGAGAAACAAATAAAAACTGGAGGATTCAGATAGAATTGTTCTTTTACTCATTCTGCATCTATTTCTCGGACCTACTCCTCTCGAAATTGCCAGCGGCTAACAACGTGTGAGACTGCAGCTGACAGCGGCAGATTTTCGAATCTAGACAAGCAACGTTAAAATCAATTCATTTTAAAGTAGGGAGATGTATGTATTCTTTCTTCCGGAATTTGGGAGAGCACCAGTTTCTAAACATCGTTAAAAAGGTACTACATCCTTAAAAGTCATTGTTTTCATGTACTTCTAAAATCTATTATTCCAGAGAATCAGTCATCGTCTTTTTGTTCATTTCTGTTGGACGAACGTCATGCGGGATACATACTTAGGCGATCATGTATCTTTCGATACATGACTGACGAGGCAGATTTTTTTCCCGCAGTAGGTTACCATTTCTTTCTACGGTAGACCAATTGCCATCTAAACGCTATAGAACCCGGTCTGTCCTGTTATTTACCTATAGCTGGTGGCAGAAGATGATTCATACCTTTTCCAAGAATATTAGTATGTAAGGGAATGCAATGAATTCAACTGGAATTCGAACTCGGCTCTCCGATTCCTAAATCCGAGCCGCTATCTATTACTCAACCGTGTCTCCGAATGTAATTGTTTCTTTAAAGATGTCTGTCACCAGTCCAAATAAAAGTAAGGATGCTGATGAAAAAAAATAATTTTGTGCTATACGCCCTTCGTTTTTGTCGCATATCCCACTTGGGAAATTTAAATTATTGTCGCTAAACAAGACCTTCTCTTTCTCATTGCCTCTCAGGGTATTTTTTTCACATTGACTTTCTGTCGACCTGTTAATATTACAAAACTTAGCTTATGTTGTGCTTGTAAAATATCTCTGATCGGCGCAAAAAGCAGAATCAGCAAGCCAAGTTCGAATTCCTCAACATAACCGTTGTGTTCTCATACATCAAAATTGGCAGTAGAATCCCTTGTTTCCTGTTTAGGATTGGGTTTCCGATTCCTTCTAAAGTTTCATTTACTCTCAGTTGCGTCTTGGTGGTATTATCGCCTTTCTTGTAGTGAAATGATAAAAAAAAATGGAATGACTAGTCAAAATAAAAAAATTTCTATATTTTCTTTTAACGAAATAGATAGATAGATAGATAGATAGATAGATAATAACAAGACTTATATATATAGATAGATATTTGTGTTGACCTCTGTGTACATAAGACTCAATAGCACATGTGACTGTCGGTTTCACGCCTGAAGCTATCTTCAAACCCTGTTCCACTTTTAAGTTTGTGAAACCTATTATCAGAAATCACATTTTCCTTAGAAATTATCGTTTTAAAAAATATGATCCCTGAAACTACAATTTTACAATCAAATCACTTTAAGATTATATGTAATTCCGTGAAATAAGTGAACCAAATAAGGAACAGTTCATTTTATTTATTAAATATATATTTCCTCCTTTGTCATTAATGTTCTATATATATATATATATATATATATATATATATATATATATATATATATATATATATATATATATATATATATTCGAATCTCTTCTGTATTATTGTTCCCTATTTTCAAGATGCTACCAACCCAGTTATTTACCGTATAAGTAGACGCTGGTATCCGGGGATGTCGGTCTACTAAGATGGCTTGGTAATCCTTATCACAGACGTCTTTGTTCAACATTCACAGAGAAACCCTGTGGTTTATTCTGCAATTATGATGTGCTGACATTGATTCAAAGTTCCTGGGAGAGAGCGCATAATGTGGCGTGAGCAACACTTTTGAACAACGTCAGTGCACTTGAATGCGATATCGGACTGGGACGGGCATCGACGGCTAGCACAAATATCGACAAATATCGACGGCTTCTAAACAGATCTCTCTAGCTAATTTTACTCACAAAGTTTGAGTCAACTCTTGATATGTTATTTCAAGTACTTCTCAAAAGTAAAGCATGCTGGGATTGTCTCCCCATGCAGATATTATCAGCACCCTAACAAGTCGGCATGTTGAAACTCGAAGCTGGGTCTCAGGGTCAAAATTCTAACGAACTATTCGCATAAACATCCACACCCACACTTTACAACTATTGCTTCACTAAGATTGTGTTGTGGGCATGTATTGTCAAAATGCCGTCTCTTACAAAGTTCTCAGTGGATCGCCTTGCCTAACAAGTCGTGTGTTTTTTTCTATTCTTTCTGGGCTAATTATTGCTTCGACCGTGTCCATATACTTATAATCAGTTTTCACCAGGATTCTGTTCTTGGCAAGAAGTATTGCTCTCTATTTATATCGCCGCTTGCACAATTCTCAGTGGATAGCCTTGCCTATCCTGTCATGTATTCTCCGTGTTAATTTTCTACAATACTTTTATTATGTCATTGACTGAGGCATCTTCCTTTCCACTCAGTGCACATCTGCAGTTATCTTGTGTTTTACAGAAAAATATGTTAATGAAGCTTACCAACTTTATTTCTCGTTGCCAAAAATGCAGCACAAGCCTCGCTTTCGTCGCAATATTAACTTCCGTAATATTTCATAATTATCTGCTGCCTTTTTTCATTTGTTTTTCACTCTACTCCAGCATTTAAAATGTCTTTCCAATTATTCTCCAAAGAGCTGACTAATCGTCTGCCGTTAGGAGACGTTAATTAAACAGAAATAAATTGACAATGTTGGCTGTCGTGTCGAAGGAATGATAAATCGTCGACAATTTCTCTCTGCTACAATCTACAATCGACGGGTTACTCGACCTGTGATTTCCTACTGCCAATCTGAAATATCGAGACATGGCTTAAGGTTTAGAGCAATTAAACAAATGTTAAGAGGTTTTAGGTTTGGAAGCCAATCGTAGAATGATGGTTAAAACCCTCGTTTAGAAGACAAATTGACTCTTGCAAAGAATTTACTCCTCTTATATGACAATGGATGCTGAACATTCACAGAGGAAGAAAATACTTGAGGCAATAGATACTTGAGGCAGTAAATACTTGAGGCAATAGATACTTGAGAAAATATGTACTTGAGGCAATAGATACTTGAGGCAATAGGTACTTGAGGCAATCGGTGCTTGAGGAAATGTGGTTCTGAGATACTGAGAATACTATGGAAGGAACGCGTAAACAACGAAAGTGTCTTAAGGAAAATTGAAACAAAAAGAACAAAAGAAAGAAATAGCTGACATCTTTTGAAAACATTATGAGGAAAGTGGGTTTGGAGAATTTGATACTTACAGGACACAGTGAGGGCAAAAGGAACAGGTGAAAGAAGCGAATAAACTACCTAACGAGCTTCTTTAAATGGTTGGCAGAATATGGATTAGCAGGGAAAACAAAACGACAGACATTACTAAGAGCTACAAAAGACGAAGTTGAGGAGAGCCACGATCTCCAATGCCCTGAAGGGACATGGCACATAGAAGGAAAATGAATTTAGTAAATTAAGTCTCAGAGACAGAATAATCTAAACTTAGAAAATATTTATCATATACTTAACAATCGGTTCGTCTATCATAGACAAGTTGACTGGTGTATCATTGTTAGAGTGGAACACACCTATTCTATAGTTAATAGACTGTCCCACCTATAATAAGTAGGAGTAGTAAGAGTAACGGGGCAGTCGGGGAGTCGGTCAGTCAGTCAATGCCGGACGACAGTTAGTCGAATACTAAAGTATCAGCAACCGCAATAAGATTACTCTGCGTAATACCTATTATATCAAGTTCCTAACGTTTTGTACGTCGAACCTATTTTAGGACCGACTTAGTACAAACACAAGCTTCCACTGAGAAATCACTCCACAACAACTATGTTTGTGTTTTGTACCACGATCTCGTTATAAACATACAAATGAATAAACCTGTAATTGGCTTCTTCCTTCAGGGTGTAGGGGTGGGGGCTTACGGCCATGTCATGTTGAAACATTAGTTCTTATAAGATCACTGAAGCTAAGAACCGCTTGGGAATACGAGGTTCTGTAAGCTTGGATGTGCGGATGGTGTATTTGGGTAAGTGCTCTCAATTGGAGATCGGAGAGCCAAGTTCTAATTTCAGTAGGGTTCGTTATATTCATTTACGTGCAAATACCCTCGGTTAAGATATGAGTTCATCTCTTCTCCCAGCACTTGTATCGGTAAATCATTATTATCACCAAAAAGCTCTTACAATCTAAATATATTTTATGGCATTAAATAACTTGCTAAAGGTTGGTAACCCGTAAAAAAGAAATAATTCAATAAAAATATAGGACATGGACCCCCATGGTTCATATTTCTTGCGCCCTTTAGCAGTTTTTCCCTCTTGGCTAAGGTTCCCACCACACGATCAGCCAACCACTCACACAAAATTGTCAGGTAGATGACCCGCTGCCTTCCCCTGCTTTTTCTTGCCCTTAATATACCCTGTGAGTGTTCTTTTTGCTGTCATTTTCTTTAAGACTTTTTCGTTGCTTGCTCACACCATCCCTGGAATCTTTGAGTGTGTATCTTTCGCGTCTCTAGGTCAACCGCTGATGTATTGGTCTGTATTTTCAAAATATCGCCGCTTGCACAATTCTCAGTGGATTACCTTGCCTATCCTGTCATGTATTCTCTGTGTTAATTTTCTACAATTTGTTTATTATGTCATTGACTGAGGCATCTTCCTTTCCACTTAGTGCACATTTGCTGTTATCTTGTGTTTTACAAAAAAATATGTTAATGAAGCTTACCGACTTTATCATTCGTTGCCAACAACGCAGCACAAGCCTCGCTTTCGCCGCAATATTAACTTACGTAATATTTCATAATTATCTGCAGCTTTTTTTCCTTTTGTTTTTCACTTTGTATTAACGATTGTTGTTAAAAGAGTCTGTCAAGCTTTAAATAAGAATGTTGAAGCTCGGGATATTCTTTTAGAGATATCGAAGGCATTTGACAGGGTTTCATATGCAAGTCTTCTTCACAAGTTAAAAGGTCATGGTATTTCTGAACGAACTTTTGAACTGATTCACTCGTTCTTATCAAATCGCGAAATGACAATTATCTAGAACGGCCACTCTTCTAGATCTTTTTGTATAAATGCAGATGTCGGCCAGGACTCTATCACTGGCCCTGTGTTGTTCTTATTTTTCAACAATGACCTTCTTGATATCATCATTCCATAACTTGGTATCTATATTGATGACACAACTATTTACTCTTGTTTTATTGGACTGCCTGATCGGTTCGATAAGACAAAGTTGACAACATATCTCAAAAATGATCTACAATCTGTTGTTAACTGGATCAAAGATAGGCTTCCTAATTTTACGCTTCCAAAACGAAACTGCTTCCGTTTCATCCGTCTAAGAGAACTTTTTTGCTTTCTATCAACACGGATGATGCTAACCGCTTTGAGAGTAACTGCTTAAGCCTTCTCGGAGATGAAGTGAAAAGATTATATTGAATCAGTTGCTAGGTCTCCTGCTAGGAAATTTCGTTTACTCTGTCGTGCTAGACAGTTTTTCTCGACAAATTCTATCTTCACTATTTACATTATTCGGACTATTGTTTTCATATTTGTTACCACATTGATCACAATGTTTCGGCCGAATGACGAACTGAACCCTTTATTTCAGTTCGACATTCCAACCACCTGAGGAAGGCCGGAGCGTACAACGGCCGAAACGTTGTGATAAATATGGCAACAAAGATGAAGACAATAGTCCGAATAATATAAATAGTGTACATGATGCCTCATCTCAGAAATATAGACAGATTCTATCTTACACATTTATAAGTCTACCATTCCCCTATTCATTAACTATTGCTGACGCATTTGGTCTGTTGCTTCTGTAATATATGTAGAATTTTTTTATAAAATACTAAAACGAATCTGCAATGTCATTGGCCTTAATCTGGCATTTCAGCTTCAGTTACATTCACACCACCATATCGTAGCTTCCCTGTGCCTTTTCTATAAGTATTTTCATGGTAATTGTTCTGACGAGTTTTCCTCTATCTTTCCTAGACCTTATGACTTTTATGTAATTATAAGTTGTATGCTAAGAGTTTTTTTCTCGCACTTCTCGCTTGTGTAACTCAGTTCCAGTTTCTTGCTTTCTTGTTAACTTTGGTCTTCAAAAATTTAAATGCAATGTCGGTCGTTATCTTCTCAATCCGCGTTCTTTTATTATTCTCTCTCGTTCATGTTTTTTTTTCTCATATTCTCTCACATTCAGTAACCTCTTGAGTCTTAATGGCTTTATTGCCTTGCTTGAGGTGAAATCATTAAAAGAAATGTAAACAATAGAAATATCCGTTTTCTTAAAGTTATTTAACTCATACTTCTGTCATTTTTATACAATGTCATATATCATCACTCCCGCACAATGTCATATACCATCACTATCTACGAATGTCTTATACGGCCGAAACGTTGTGATAAATATGGCAACAAAGATAAAGACAATAATCCGAATAATGTAAATAGTGTACATAATACCTCATCACAGAAATATAGACAGATATTGAAGGATCGGATAAATATGGCAACAAAGATGAGGACAACAGTCCGAATAATGTAAATAGTGTACATAATACCTCATCTCAGAAATATAGACAGATATTGAAGGATCGGATAAATATGGCAACAAAGATGAGGACAACAGTCCGAATAATGTAAATAGTGTACATAATACCTCATCTCAGAAATATAGACAGATATTGAAGGATCGGATAAATATGGCAACAAAGATGAGGACAACAGTCCGAATAATGTAAATAGTGTACATAATACCTCATCTCAGAAAAATAGACAGATATTGAAGGATCGGATAAATATGGCAACAAAGATAAAGACAATAGTCCGAATAATCCAAATAGTGTACATAATACCTCATCTCAGAAATATAGACAGATACTGAAGGATCAGATAAACATGGGGACAAAGATGAGGACAATAGTCCGAATAATCCAAATAGTGTACATAATACCTCATCTCAGAAATATAGACAGATACTGAAGGATCGGATAAATATGGCAACAAAGATGAAGACAATAGTCCGAATAATATAAATACTGTACATAATACCTCATCTCAGAAATATAGACAGATACTGAAGGATCGGATAAATATGGCAACAAAGATGAGGACAATAGTCAGAATAGTGTAAATAATGTACATAATACGTATGTCATCACTCTCATACAATGTCAAATGCAGTCACTGTCATATAAATCACTTTCACACAATGTCATATGCCATCACTAGCTACGGATGTCTTATACAATCACTCTCCTAAAATGTCATATAGCATCACTATCACACGATGTCATAGGCTATCATTTTCAAACAATGACCTATACTGTCTCTTTTCTCGCAATATCACAAAACATTACTTTTACACAATAATATATACCAGTATTTTCACATAATGCCATATGCCATCAGTCTCACGCGATGCCATATGTCATCACACAACATCAAATGCAGTCACTTTCACACAATGTCATATGCAATCACTTTCAAAACAATGTCACATTCCATCATCTATGCTTTATCCCCTGATAAATAAAACAGTTAAAGAAACACTATTTACATTATTCAGGCTATTGTCCTCATATATGTCGCCATATTTATTACAACGTTTCGGCCTTCTTCAGGTGGTTGGAATGTCGAAAAGAAGAAGGCGTGAGCATACAAAGGCCGAAACGGTGTAAAAAAATATGGCGCCAAAGATGAGATCAATAGTCCGAATAATGTAAATAGTGTACATAATACCTCATCTCAGAAATATAGACAGATAGTTAAAGAAACGTTTATAAATTCATACCGCATTATCACTTGACCTAAGGTAATACTCTATGTTCGGCCAGTATTAATAGTCGTCAGCAACTGGAACTACCGCTTTAAAAATCGCCGTATATACTGCTCCAAGTCGTAATAACCAAGACCTTCTCAACTTATTACTCCTCACTAGCAAGGCCGATGTACAAAAAAAAATTTAAAAAAAAACATTGCAATGACTTATTCCACAAAGTGTTCGGACTGACATCCTCGTTTTTGTTAGCTTCATGGCAAAATTTTGACTCATGCATTCTTCTGCTTTTATCAGCTGTTAAATTATCCTGCAAGAGGAAGTTTTGTTTTACTTAAATACGTTTCCATCTTGTCACAGTTTCCTGCAAGCTGCACGAATGTTTTCCTTTCAAAGTTTCACTGGAAACATCTGGCTTTTTCAGTATTTATGAGTTTCAACTTAATCAGAAGCATAAGTAAACCAAAGAAAATTGAGAACAGGAAGAGTATTTTTTTACTGTTATTTCACCCAATTCAAGACCCGGTGGCCACTCGAGGTCGAGGGTTACTAAGTAAGATTTTTGTAAACTTGAGGTAGGATGGGAAGTAATAATTGCATATTATGAAGACGTGCAGAATAGATATCGGTT